CACATTTAAACCTGTTAGCCTGGCTGTACGGAATACTGGTTCCGCAAGGTCGAGGATGACAACTGTTGAAGTGCAAATATTTCTGGCTGTCTCTGGGGTTTCGATACAGTTGAGTGACCAGAGTTGTGTCTTTAATTATTATTCTAACGTCTAGGAAATTAATGCGAGTTTTCGATTAACTGTGTGAAGCAAATGGAAGGGTGCGCGGTGTTAATAGTTTCGATAAACTTGAAAAGCTCATTTTCTGCGTGTGACCAGATAAGCACCGAAAACACAAAATCCTACTTATCAGAATAAATAAATATATATATATATATATATACAGGGTGTCACAAAAGAAAATTTACACGGTCTTTTTTACCGTAAAAATAAACTAGGCATCGCCGAACGCTCATTCTCCATCCAAAGGTAGTGCTATAGGTCACAACCCGATGCCAAGGTTTCAGCCCGATCCGATAACTTAATCAAAAGTTATAAATGATTTTCTAAAAATTTCAATGGGAAAATGGTGGCCGACGGAGTTTTTAGATACATGGGGCTCTATGGCACCAGAAACCGAAAACGGGCGAAAATGGGCTCCATTTTCCCATTGAGATTTTCAGAAAATCACTAATAACTTTTGATTAACTTATCGGATGGGGCTGAAACTTTGGCATCTGGTTGTGACCTCTAGCTCTACCTTTGGGCGGAGAATGAGCGTTCGGCGATGCCTAGTTTATTTTTGCGGTAAAAAAGACCGTGTAAATTTTCTTTTGTGACACCCTCTCTCTCTCTCTCTCTCTTTCTCTCTCTCTCTCTCTCTCTCTCTATATATATATATATATATATCTTTGTTTATTCTGATGACTAGGATTTTGAAGTTTATCGGAGTTTATCCTTCTTCAATTCCCAATTCCCCGAAATTAAAAAAAAAAAATTATTTTTTGGATGAAAACGTGTGCTAGATTCAAAAGAACGAGCTTGTATAAATAAATACTTCTTTGGCAGGATTTGGCGTTGACGCCCCTGCCATCGGCAATACTAATTTGTCCCACGACAAGATTTGAAAACAAGTGGTGCTTCGATAAACGTAGAAAACTTAAAATCAATAAACTCCAGTGGTGTTTTGTCTCTGCTAATGGCCCGCTCAGCCGTGACCTGTTGAGGGCGGTTGCGACGGACCCGTCCTGCGCTTAGAAGCGTTCTCTCTCAAGAGCAGCGCGTGCCTCTGGTTCAGCCGACCAGAGCGCGGTCTAGCACCGACTGGCGTCTCATGCAGGAAACTTTGGAGAGTGGAGCTCACGAGACAAACTTCGTGAAAGCTGTGTGTCTGTGTGCATGTGCTTGTGGAATGGAACTTTCTTTGACTCACCAGCAACACGAGCCACCACATCTTGAGACCCGCCACGAAGTCCAGCGACATTGGCTGGCTGCTTGCACACGGAGTTGTTCACTATCGGCTGCTCAAGACCACGTTGGCCCTTGGGATTGGACGAGCCAGGGTTCGGTGAGATTGAGAGTTTAAAGAGAGACGCTCGCAAATCGAGTGTGCACGATCAAGAATTCGAACACCAAAACGCTGATGTAAATATGTAGATATAAAGCTTTCTTTTTTTGTCGTTCCCCTCGTCTCCGGCTCGTCTGCCCTGCATCCTGCCCGGCGTTTGGTAGCGGGGCCGAGCTGGGAACCTTAAAAGGACCCCCTCGGACACAACAGTAGGTATTAATGGACAAAGATCGTGTTGGTTCGGGTCAAGATTGTTGAAAGAATAAATATGTAAAATATGTACATGCATAGGCGTAGACTTCGGGGGGGGGGGGGGGGGGCGCATCGGGGCTCGTGCCCCCCCTGGCGAAATCGGGGGGGGGGGGGGGGGGGGGGCCGAGCCCCCCCCCCCCCCCAGGCTTGGGCCATAATCCTTACCGAGACGCCGCTTTCGTGCTATGTAACGAGCTTCTAGTAGTGGCATGTAAACAAAATAACGCCCACGTTGCCTTTATTGACAAGCTACATGGGAAATGGAATCCCAGCGTGCGTTCGTTAGCTTCAATCTCCAGTTCTGGCGAAGAGGTAACGCGCAGCACCCCCCCCCCCCCCCCCCGGGAAAATGGAAAGTCTACGCCGCTGTGTCCATGTAACATGTCCTGTAGGTAGTGGCTAGGAAGCTCGTATTCATCCCGTCCTATTTATCAACCTACCCTCCAGCTGCGCGGGGTGGAGGGGTTAACTGAGGTGTTTCACCTCAGTTAACCACTATACAGAAGTTTCACTTGCCCGTCCCCCTTCTCCCTTCTATGAAACCTCTTTGGTTCACAGCTTTTACTGTTACGAAAACAGAATCTCTCGTTCCTCTAAGCAGCACAAATAGTATGATCCGAACTGGAAACAGGAAAAGTGGGTTTTGTCGCGACCCGATATACCTCTCGTTACCCAGTATACCTGACCCGGTGAACCTTGACGAGATAAACGGTAAGATTCCTTATGTCAATGATCGAAGATTTGAAAGAAAACAGAGATGACATTTTCTCAAGACCATATACTCTGTGCGCACTCCCAAGTTAATTGCAAAATACCGTCTTTTCTTTTTGCATTGGTACATTGAAACTTGGAGTTTATTGGATAAATCCGAATTAACGAAGATTTTACCGGTGGCTGTTTATCGGAGTTTTCTGTGTTTATTCGAAAACACTGAACCCTACTGATAGCTAGAGAGATTGGTCAAACTTTTAAGTCGTGGAGAAGGCGGTATAAAGTCGGCTGAAGAATGGAATGACAGGCACAGCTATCAAAACTCTCACCACAAAACGCGCAAAAAAATGTGTGTTTTTTTTTTGTTCTTGTTTTTAGGTGTTAGAAAATTTAAGTGGATTCCGAACCTCAGACTTCGACTGTGTTTGAAACATAGCCCATTGCGATTCGACGTTAAAGTACCAGAACCAAAGCTCCGAAGCACAGGGGACATTTCTTTTAATGTTGGAGCACCGTATTCTCTCGAAGCACTCGAGATGAAAAGAATACCTCCTTTTGCACGAAGCTCCGTTCCAGGGATGGTACCGTGCTCCAAACACGCGAGACAGACACGGCCAAGCAAACATACGAAAAAAACAAAACAAAACAAAAAGTATCAAACAAATATATGCGAGAAAGAGAAAAGCGGTTGTCAACTCTTGGGCGCACAACAATCGGACATTCCTGACGAACCCGAACACTTCCGCAAGCTTTTGTGATCAAAGCAATCCAGGCGTGTATTTCGCATCCACCTCCACTGATGCGCTGTCGAAGACCCCTGTGCCGCTGTCCATCTCGGAACACAATGTCCTTCAAATAGCGCCTTACTTTTCATTTTTCGTTGCTATATATTAAGGTAAAAGTCAGTAAAAAGAGCTACATACAAGAAAAAAATAACCAGCAAAAACAAAAGTCAATATATATCTACTCATCTACGAGAAAAAAAGAATGTAAAACTGAATATTTCCAAGCGGTGGGATAAATTGCATTCCAGTAAAGCTGAATTGTTGTTTCCAACGTGCATGTCAATATAACAGTAACGCAACACGTGCCCTGTCTTATATATGGTGAGTTTCTCTGGTGACATCATGGGAGAATTCTCTGCGAGCACGCTTCAAGCCCGTTTGAATTAAGGGGGCTTGCTTCATGCATACGTACGATTCAAAGATATCTGCCTAGATTCTTTCTTTTTTTTTTCATGATCAACGCGACAGGATCGTCATACCAGAAAAAAGCACGCACCAGACAGTCTGTGCAGACTGTCTTTTGTATAGTGTATACTAGCGACCACGGCTTTACGCATCTAGAAATAATTGAGCAGAGTTTGCGACTACGTCAATCGTGAAAAAAGATTTCCTCTAGGGAAGAGTATATCTTTTATAGCTTTCACCGTGATATATATATATATTATGAGCTTAACCCGACAGATACCGGAATTAGTGTTATTTAAACACCTAACACATAATTCTTCAACAGAAACTAATAAGTATTGTCTCCCTATTTCTTGGTAAAACAAATATTATAAATTGTGAACTAATTCAAATATATTATAAAATGATGTTTTCTTATCTATTTTTTTTTTTTTCATTCTGCAAATAGTCGTTTGTTTCTGACAAGTTTCGTGAAAATTGTCTCGAACCTAAATCTAATTGCTTCAAAGCAATTGTTTATAATATTCTTTTTCTCCATATAGGTCAGGCGTGTCAACATTACCCCTAGTTTCACAATTTGACTCGGAAACCCTCTTCGGTGAAAAAAAAAAAAAAACAAAAAAAAAAACACGGACATAGCTTAAACATTTTGTCTTTTTCGAGTAGGTACATCGTTAAGAAAAACAGCATACTTTTTTCTAACCCACTGTCCTTACATTCAATCTAAGCTTTAATTTTTTTTTAATGCGCAACGATCATTACAATGACGTTTGTGAGCTGCCGCAAACAGCCAGTCTCTAAAACATGGTTGTGTCTTCGCCATTCCTCCATGAATAAAGCGGTCGTACACACCACACGTCATAAATGTCGTTCACGCATCATTACCGGAAGGACAAACGAACCTAATGATTGCTTTCAAATCTCAGCAACAAATATTAGAACGAGTTATTTATGACCTCATTCACTTCGATCCATACCATGCGGTTCGACAAAGGCGATCTTTTGAGCACAACGACCCTCGTGTGCAAATGAGCCTGGCATACGTCTCTCTTTGTTGCCATTATTACGAAACAAATGTATACTTTCATTGCGCGAAAAAAAAAAAAAAAAAAAAAAAAAAAAGCTCGCGTCGAAACTGTCTGGCAATCGTCTTAACAGTCGAGACTTTCTTAACTTGACGTAAAACAACCCTACGAGCGTCGCACACTTTTGTAAATTAAAGAGATTCCTAATTTGCTTAAGCAAGCAACGGGGCCTGCCACTGTATACGCACTCTGCGAGTCGTCTCATCCACAACACTCGAGATGTCTCGGGCAATTTAAAAGGGAGTTGGGGCGTACGTGGGAAGAAAATAACGGGCATCCATGTTTAAGAGAATCTTTATTGTTGTAAGCCTCTGCGCGCATAGCATGACTTTTTAACTCCTCCAGATAGCAACTTTTTTTTTTTTTTCCACCTCAACATCGTTTTTGAGGTTCTGCATCTTTTATCGTAACAGTTCGAGAAACGCTGCCCATCTCAAGAAAACAAACAAAAACACATAACAAACAGAAGCACTTTTAGTCGGAGCTAGACAACTCTATGGAGACATCTATACACAAGGAGAGGTCTTCCTGGATAACATGAGCTGCATGTCTGGAATTCAAAGAACCGGCGTGCCACGATGGGGCAGCAGCTTTTTTAACGTGTGAAAGTATACCAGGGTAAGGATGGAAGATACACGAAGAAAATAAAAGGATTGGCGGTAGCGGACAAACAGTACATACATTAAGGAAAGCTACGGAAGACGAATGTGAACAAACACGAGGGGACAGGTTCGACACTGCGAGAATACTCCAAGGAGAATACCATTCAAAACTAAAATTTTTGAGATCGAAAAAAAAAAAAAAAGGTGAGTGTACAGAAAGTGTTTATATGTTCCAGCGTAAAATACATCGCATTCACGAGCGGATCAAGGGAACGATTTGTAACTTGCCACAGAGGTGTCTTTGGGTGGTGCGTCTAGTGCGCCAAAAGAGTTTGGTCTCGTGCCTGAATCACAAAAAAAATTACGATGGTGTCATCATTGACCATGATTGGCGAATACCTGCCCACAAAAAAAAAAAAAGAAGCGATTACTAATATTTAAACAGTTTAATCCGTATAACTAAGCTTTATGAAATTTTAACGCAACATTTGAACTGCCCAGACGCACCTTCGTGACAAGTTCCTCCTCAATCCGCCGATCTTCTAATTTATGCGCCCCATGTTACGCTGGAACGACGTAAGCGAGACTCGAGCGGACTTAAATCAGCCCATCTCTATTTTCTTTTAAATAAAGAATAAAAACGGAAACGGATGAGAGACACAGCAGCAGCGACGTCTCCGTCTTCATCACCGCCGCCGCCGTGACAATCGGTGAGCCGAGGAGAGTCTTCGAGGATGGCTTCATTTGACGGGACTGAAATCCCCAAAGCTCTCCTCGAAAATGTCCTCGTGGAAGCCTCGCTGGTCGACCTCGGGAAAACGTTTCTCGAGCCCCGTGCTATCGAAGAACGATGGCTGACGACGGCGCACCAGAGAACGTCCGCCGCGTCGACCAGGACCGACGTCCAGGTACCGAGGACTCCGGTAGGGCTCTCGTCCCAGCAGCGCGTTCCTGGACACGTCCCAAGAGAGCGCCAGGAGCCGAAAAGGAGAGGAGAAGGTAGAAAGTGAGACGGGTGAAAGAGAGAAAATACTTCACTACAGTAGTTGGTGGGTTAAAAGTTCAGTGTCACCTCTTTGCACTTAAGCCTCATCTTCAGCCTTCTCTCCACTGAAGTAGAAAGAGCTCAGAGAAGCTTTCCCTGATGGAAAGCTGGATATGAAAACGCGCGGTCACATCAGAGTGCCGAGCTTTGATTGGAAGGATTTGTGGGTAGACGCGAAGGCTAGAAGCCTTTGGCCCTACTTGGTGTCTCCCTCCAATCAGAACGAACGAGAGCGTCGTCTGCCCCTCGCGCAGGATCTGGCGTTCGAGCGCCATTCGCCGAAGGCCAACGTCCGGCGTTGAAACGTCAGACCCAGCGCGAAGAGCAGACGACGAGCACATAAACGGACGCATGAAGTTAATTGTGACGCTCAACTATTATTTACTATACCAGCATCTAAACCGGGCGTCATATAAGCCAACGAAATAATATCGGTGTAATTTTCAGGCTGCACAGTCTAACCTACTCCAAGAAGGTCACAGACAAAAAGCTAACCCTGAATTGCGTTTTTCTTTTCTTAAAGCGCGCGCTCTATTGTTTGTGACCTTGACAGTGTTTCATACAGCATGTGGAGATGCTGTATAGACTAGCACGCTGCTTACAAACAAGTCCACGTACGCTCACACCAGGAGTGGGCATTGCGTTTTCGCAAAAACCAGATTCACATCGAGGGACTAGTCTGCGCATGACCTGAGCCAAGAGCAGAGTCACCGCGTATGTAGCGGTGTGACATCAGAGTCACTGGTCGGTGTAAAAATCGCACTGATTCCATTCAGTAATTTTCCCTTCCCTTTCACCGTTTCTACTTCCGGGTCAAGAACACCAAGTGTAGAAGCGACACTCAAGATCAGTCCCACCGTCTTTCTTACATATTCCTTCAGACTTCCTACCACGGAGAAAGCAAACTGCAACAAAAGTACAACATGGCCGCAGCCAAGGACAACGACCTGTCAAGAGCGTTTGCGCACGCGTCTGACAACCCTATAATATCGTTTTTCCCGCAACAGCGTCAGCGTCATCGTCGGCCCTCCGCGCTGCCCCGGAGAGGCGTATAGTATGCAGAGAGCCGGCTCACGCACGCTCAAGTTTCGCGGCGACGGCCCAATGTCGTTAAAAGCACCGGCGGCACTCGAAAAGAGTGTACTACTCTCCGCAGGCTCCTCCCGGAGCTATATTATGAAAATGTTCCGTTGGATTGAGCGTCCGCCATTAAGTATTGACACGCGTGGTCAAAGTCCCGAGCCACTCCCTTCTGCGACGTGTAATACACATATGATGCCACGCACCCTCTCACCTTACGATGGACCGCAACGCTGCGAATATGTCACGTGACTATGTGCGCCGAGCGCGTCGCCTCGCATCTCGCGAATACCGCGTGACACTTACGCGATGTTGGATTGGCTTCCGATGGCTCGTAGCGTCCTATATGCGGTTCGTTAGAGAGTTCTAGTAGAGCGTTTCGATGGCTCCGATAACCATACGCGATACTCCGCCGCTGTCCTTGTGCATATGTCGTATTGTTATCGGGTACATCGTTCTCGGGAGTATCGAAATATCGGAACGATTTAATAACTCTCTATTGTAAGGTGAAACGGAGTACAGGTTGTGCGGGGTTGGGAACGTCCAGCATTTTGTCGAAGTTGGTGGTATGGTGTCGGCGTTTACTTCTTTGGCAATCTCGACACAAAAGAGTTCTGTTCGCGATTAAAGTGAGCGGAACGCTGGGAAGAACGGGCGTGATATCTGTCACACAGAAATTACTTCGAGTTTTGCATCTTTCAGTACGCATATATAGTGACGGCTTAAGAAAGCCCGATACATTATATTGCAAAACGGGACACCTTTTGCATTCAAACTTTCGCATCGGCGCTTGGTACGTTGTTCAATTAAATTATTATTATATTTCTTTGCAACGTAACCGTTCTATCTCCGAGTTCCTTCCATTTTTGGGGGAGAGTTTAAGAGTGGCACCATCTAATTTCGAAACTTTCACTGAGTTTGCGTTTTTCGGGCTAAGATTGAAGCAACAAAAGTTGCGTTACTATCGATCCTACCCTGAACGCACCACAGCTCAGAGCACGCGGAGCGAAAGCACGCGTTGCAGAATACAGGGAGCCCGCGGGTTCGATCCCCGCCCCTTCACGTTCCTATCTTTACGAGCATCGGACCGGCGTACGGTCGAGTATCAATCAGTACTACGTGATGCACGTTAGAGACCCCAGGCTAGCAGCGGTACCGCACAGGCTAAATTTCTCATCTACATCGGAGATATCAGTCACTCATTCTGGCTGTCTAACTTCCCGCAGGACAAACGAAGACGCAACGCAATCCTAAAATGAACCTTCGGCAGTGCTTCACGGAGTTTGCTTTTATACATTTTACCACGGGGCGACGTCATGACTCTACGAACCGTAATGCGATATGTTTTGTCCTTGGTGCTTCCCCACAGAGCAGCTATTAGCGGCGAGTTTGGGTGGCGCCCTCCTATGGTTAGCTCTCGTGATGTCATTACCTTCTCAACAACAAGTTTGATGGTGTTTGTAATTAGCATGGTGGAAGCTGGAAATCAATGCGCGCTTTTAAGCCAACACTGGCAACACCGTCAAAATCCAAGTTCTTACATTACTCTTATTTCTGTCGATGAGAAATCCTTTGCTGACGTCATAGTCAGCGTTCGGCCAATCGTGGAAGGCCGACCACTGCGACGCTTTCGATCGGTCACGTCGCCAATAGGCAGTGCACGGTGGCACCATACGAATATGCATTATAATTCAGTAGCAGAATTTCCTTCTACAGCTTAACCTGCTAGAGTAAGTGACAGCTTAAAGGCCTGTTCACACATGCAGCGGAGCGCTATACTTCGTCTCACCTAACCATGGACTAACCGCGAATGCTGTGCTAGCGCGAGCGGTAGCCTTGACTGCCTTGACTGGTGCACTCGCTGCACGAGCACTCGTGCAGCAGCCGAGCCTTCATTCGAAGCAACTATCTCGCGCTTTTAACACGCGCGGCTAACAATAGTCCATACTAACGTGAGACGAAGTATACAAGCATAGCGCTGACCTCGCGCTAAGCGCGTGCTGACGGGCGTGTTCCCCAGCTTTGTGTCGCACCGTCAAAACTGTTGCTCATGGCAGACGATAAGTAGCTGACGACACGTGAGCAGCGCTATCAGCGCTTAAGGCCGGTTCAGACACTTGCGTTTGAGTGCGTTTGACTGCGTTGCGTGGAGAACCGAAAGCGAGTCACCGGCACATCTGTGCTTCGTATGAAGTGTGGAATCCAATGCAAGGAATCGTCTTGGAAAGCGATATAAGCAGCAGCGATGTCCTGGTTTCTCGCAGCCGCAACGCAGTCAAACGCAACTGTCTGAACCAGACTTTGCTGCATGTGAGAAGCGGCCTTAACAAACAAAGTGAGGCGTGTTATCGACACGCTTTTTCCTTCCTGATTCGTTCTTTGGCGCTCTTAATGGCTAACACTCTTGGGCTGCAGTCTAAGTGTTGCCACGTTCTGCACTTCTTAAATTGTCCGTGACTATGCGGAGAGAAAAGCTGTCTGCTTCTTGCGCAGGGGTTGCGGTGACGTCAGAAGCATGACGAGTTCTGATTGGCTCTGATTAGAAGGATGGTGGGTAGACCATGGTAGACCTCAATGCTTGATGCCTTGACGTCTACCCACTATATTTTTTTTCGGTCAATAAGAGCTTGGCGTTCTAACATCATCGCAACCCCTGAGCAAGAAGCAGACGAACTTGGCTTTGCATAGAAACACGTTCGTTCCGAGTGCAGAAACAGGCGGCTATTACGCAAGAGGTGACTCTGTAGTGCAGTAGTGAACAGTTGCGTGCCTCGTTGTCTTTCTATAGCTTTTGGCACCACGTGCACAACAAAAAAACTATCAAGGGCAAAAAAAAAAAAATGTCGCACTGGAGGGATGGACATCTAATGAATTCTTAACCTGTCACCGACTACAGTATCACCGCAGATTTGAGTCCGACAAATGAATAAACTAACCAGAGGGCAAATGGCGGATATCTCTAAAGCAGAGCATGCCCCTCTTCCTAGTACGCAGTTTAATGGCGCTGCATACGGCAGGAGTTGGACCCGAATAATAGGCGCCCGAACTCGCGCACTCTATAACCGAGGTTTCGAGTCGGTCGGAGAATTTAGTTAGGAGAAACCAGCTGAACAAATCAACCATACCAATGAGAGGAGAACGTGAGAGACGCATTCAACAGCTGGTTTCTCCTAAGTATGTTTTACCAACGTGGTCAACTCTTTTCCGCGGTCGGAGAGCGTCGAGGGCACGCCTTACCTGAACCTCGCAAAGCCTCTTCGGTCGGCGGCTGCGGCTTCTTGTTTCGACGGAGACGCAAAGAAGGCGGACAGGTCCGTCCGCTCGGGGCTGTCTCGCTGCTGGCAGCGACACTCGACCAGGAAGACAGCCGCCAGACACAGCCAACGCGGGGACATCGCTGCGAGAGAACCATTTCATAATGAATAATAGACCATTTTCAAAAAGGCGCGCCATCCGGTAGCGGCTGCGCCAATTGGCGAAGTGCGTGACCAAAGGTGTCGCTGCGGTCGGCCTTCCACGATTGACAAAATGCTTACTATGACGTCTTGAGTGAGATGGATTCTATTTTTATTAATGGAGGTAACAGGAGTGTGAAACTCTCAACTTTGACGATGTCGGTTTAAGGACGCCATGACTCCGAGCTTCCACCGTGCTTTTTAATCCTGGCTTTGACGTCACGGATAGGAACCTTAGCAGGACACATGAGGTCCGTATACGTTTCAGACGTCAGTACAACACGACGTGCAATTCAGATACAAAGGCTGCGCAGGCGTTTATTTCGGAGTGTGGTCCGATCAGTATCTGAGCACAAGTTTGGCTCCAAAGCCTTTTGATGGCAAAATATAATTTAGGTGATTATGAGACGCCGCTTTGTAGAACTCGTTTTTCATATTCACGCCATCAAAACTGAAATTAATCGAGAGCGAAGTATGATTGACGTGCGAAAATGACAGTGCCAGATGAAATACAGTTTCATGACCTCCACCAGTTTATCGAAAATAAAACGGCTTGTGGAGCCATCCGATGACGCCGAACGCTGAAATGGGCATATTATCCGAGTTCGCCATAGTTTTGGCACGCATTCTGAGCACTTATTGGACAGGAGGCTTGGGTCAGCGCTCGGCGTGAGCTCGACTCAACTCGTATCGACAAAGAGTGAAGCGTCAGAGTTCAGCGAAGACTCGGAGCCAACCACGCGCTCTGTGCCCATGAATGAATGATACTGGCTATGCCCTTTGTAAAGGGTGGTAGCTCGCGCCACCTAGCCTAAGAAAATGCTTTCCTCCCCCACTGAAACACCCAATTTTCTTTCCCTCTACATCCCTGCAACTATCACCGGGCCAGGGAAAGAACCACCAGGCTGACCTTTGGGGGATCGGGCAAATACAAAATAAAGAGAAAAAAAGAAAACGCACCCCCGCCTCCTCCCTCCCTCCCCTCCCCTCTCCTCCCCTCCCCTCCCCCCCCCCCCCCCCCCCCCCCCCCCTTGGCCAAAGAAATGGCGACCACCGATGTTACCTGATTAGGTTTCGAAAGAGGGTTATCGTGCTCTGTGTATGTTTAGACAGCGAGAGGTTAGTCAGCCCCAGAGGACGTCTGGCGCTATAGACGTGGGAAGTTTAGCCAGTGCAGCATACGACTGCTAGCCTGGAGTCTTTCATGTGCATCACGCAGTAGTGTTACACAACTGCACGCCAGTACGGTGCTCGTCCAGGCCGAAACGGGAAAGCCCAGGAACCCTGGGTTCTGCGGCGCGAGCTTTTGCTCTATTGATACTTCCCTTACAGCGCAGAGTTAAGCAGCCCACTTACCAAAAAGGGGGGCGTTGGTGGCCCAGTGTGTTGATGCACCGCACCTCGGAGCAGGTGGAACGAAATCTCACGCTGCGGAACTCTGGAGCCTGTCCTCACCTATTCTAGTTTCGATCCGGCCGAGCATCGTACCAGCTTGCAGTCGTCCAATCACTACTGCGTGATGCAGGCTAAAGACCCCAAGGCAAGCGGTCGTACAGCACTGGCTAAATTTCTCATGTACATCGGGACGAAAATTAAACATATCCAAATTTAACTTCGGTAATCTAAGAAGAAAAAAAAAAAAGATAGGTTACATTCTACAGCCAAGCCACTTCACCAAAACGTCCAAATATCACTCAGGGACGTCAACCACCGTTTGACCTCGGTCATTAAAACACCACGAGCGAACGAACACGACACTTATTATCTCTGGTCACACCCGCGTCCACAAAACTCAAAGTTTGAACCCACGTGCGAGCAGACAGCCAGACCTCGACAGAGAAAAGAGGGGGGAGGGGGGCACGCCACCGCATTCGCCGTCTCTCGCGATTTAATTACAAGAAGGGGGGACAGCTCTGGCGTTTTACGGCAAGGCCGGCATTCAAGGAGGCGATATCTCGGCCAGAAAACCGCGGCCGAATGTTCTGGCCGGGCACGGCCGTTCCTGTCTGCTGACCGACGCCTGCGAGCTCTCAAGCGGTTTTGGGGAGTCCGCCCGAACATATGCCCCAGGGGAGAAACCGAAGAGAGAAGCGAAAGGATCAGAATGATTGTTGCCTAGTACAAAAAAAAAAAAAAAAAAAAAAATTAAAAAACAACAACACAATAATAAAATGTGTGTGTATGTGTGTGTGTGTCTGTGTGTGTGTTTTCGTTCTAGGCAGCTACACGTAGTTGACAATTGTTTACAGATTATTGTATGCCTGGATTTTTTTTTTTTTTTTTGTATGACGATCCTGTTACATTGGTCGTAGAAAAACCGTCTGCTGACAAATTCGAGGCACATATATGTAGGGAACAAACGTGCTTCAAACTTGCCTGTGGACAGTCCGTAAATATTATTGTCGTCATGTCTGCAAACTCCGTGCCTTTTGTATGACATATGAGAACTGTGTCTGCTGCTTCATGTTCTCTCACCAATCGATTGGGAAGGGGGAAGGGGGAGTGATTAGCGCATTTCATGTCGGAGGAGCACGTGCAGCGAAAAAGCTCGCGCTGCAGAACCCGGGGATCCTGGGTTCAATCCCCACCCGTTTCAATCCGGATGAGCAACGTATCGGCGCGCGGTCGTGTATCACTACTGCGTGATGCACGTTAAACTCACTGGATCTGGGAAAGTAGCGCAATTGCCTTCCCACCTACTAGCCGGACACAAACAAATATCAACATACAGACGACAAAACCTCTCAATGTGATTGGCTCATCGCTGTCGGTTGCCATGGTGATCGCCATTGTGGACCCTTTCAAAGCTTCGAAGCTTCCAAAGGGTCGTCAATACCAGTCGCACCAAGATCGCTATGGAGTATTATCGTACCGAAAGCGTTCCTCGGCCAATATGAGCGTCTTTGGCACTGTGCATTCAATAACCTTATCACTCATGCTTATTTCCTCAGATCTCTTACAATTATGTTGCTCTTCTTGCGTGTTTCAAGACAGTAAAAATTATGTTTCAATGCCCCCAAGTACCGACGCCGCGTGTGATGCCGTACATCTTCGTACCGCCATCACACGCAACGTCAGTGCTTGGAGGCATTGAAAATAATTTTACTGTCTTGAAACACATAAGAAGAGCAACATAATTGTAAGATATCTGAAAAAATAAGCATGAGTGATAAGTAGGGTTCCGTGTTTTCGGAGTTTATTTTTCGCGAAATTCGAAGGGTGTTTTTCGGAGTTTATTTTTTAGCTAAAATTCGGTGTTTATCGGAGTTTATTTTTCGTAAATCCCCTATTCTCCGAAATTCGGAGATTACTTTCGCAGTGTTTCCTATTAAAAATAATAAATAATAACCGGATGCAAATTGTATGCCAGATAAAAATTAAAACTCACTTGTATCAATTAAGATTTCTTCAGTTGAATTTGGCGTTGGTGTCATTGGCAATACTAGTTTGTCCCACAACAAAAGTCGCACACAAGTGTGGCTTCGATAAACGTTGATACCTTAAAATCTATAAACTGCCGGAGGTAGCCGCAAGGAAGCTCGTAGTCATCCCATTAATCAAGCCCGCGGCCGCGCGAGCTTGATTGATGGGATGACTATTTTATACAATCTCATTGCTCCATAGCTTTCACTGTTACAGAAACATACCCTCTCCTTTCTCTAAATCCCAAATCCCATGGCCCAAACTGGAAACCAAAAGAGTGGCTTTTGTCATGACACGAATGGTACGATGACCTGTTTCCTTTTATTTTCACTTTCCCACAGCGCCAGGGTGTCATTACAGTGTGTGTGTGTGTGTGTGGGGGGGGGGGGGATTTTCATCAATGTGATACATTTAAGCAATACAAAGGAGCATAACAGAAGGCGCACATGCATACCCACTATACGGGAAACAAAAAAAAAAAACACTTCTCACAATGCAGCAAAGAAAGCGTCATTGTCCAAAATGTCAACAACCTCCGAAGGCAATTGATTCCATTGGCTAATAGATTTGGTGAAAAACGAAGATTTAAACTGGTTTGTGTTACATTTATATTCACGTACCTTTCGTTCGTGATCGACACGATGAGAAATATAATGCGGGGGTAAAATGTAGTTTTCGCGCTGTATACCAATTCTGCCGTGATAAAAGTTACGAAATAATTTTAGCCGTAGTTTTTTTTATTCTTTTTGCAAGAGATTCCCAGCGTAAGAATTCCTTCAGACTTGTCATGCTGAGTCGCCTTTTATAATTCCCGGGAGCATATCTAGCCGCTAAGTTTTGACCTCTTTCAAGTTTATTTCTATCAACAGCAGTTGGTGGGTCCCAGATTGTACACGCGTGCTCGAGAACAGACCTGATATAACCCTGAACCAATCTTGACAAGACAAGCCGTAAGACCCCCTTTTGACAACCAAGGCTTGAAAGATAATTATGGTGTCATTTTGCCAGGATCATTCTTCCTGCGCTGCTCAAATTGTAAATATATATATATATATATATATATATATATATATATATATATATATATATATATATATATATATATATATATTATGCTGTGGGGCACATAATAATTCGGAGTTTATCGGATAAATCCGAATTGCCAAAAATTTTACCGGCGGGTGTTTTTCGAAGTTTTTCGGATTTATCCGAAAACACGGAGCCCTAGTGATAAGGTTATTGAATGCACAGTGCCAAAGACGCTCATATTGGCCGAGGGACGCTTTCAGTACGATGATACTCCATAGCGATCTTGGTGCGACTGGTTTTGACGACCTTTTTAAAGCTTCGAAGCTTTAAGGTCCACAATGGCAATCCCCATGGCAACTGGCAGCGATGAGCCAATCACCTTGAGAGGTTTTGTTGTTTGTATGTTGGTATTTGTTTGTGTCCGGCTAGCAGGTGGGAAGGCAATGGCGCTACTTTACCAGATCCTGTGACTTTAATGGGCGTGAAAGAC